TATTATTGCAACCAAAGCAGAGGACCAAGCCAGCAGTCTGAGATAAAGCAACAGTGTAACACTGAGGGATGATGGCTTGGAATACAATGCTTGTTTGGTAGGATTCTTTTTAACAATTTGCAGGAGATGATGAGTCTGATCCTGCTGCTAAACTGGATTTTATCATCTGTGTATGTTGCTGGGGTGAAGGGAATTCTGATATTTTAAAAAATTATTCCACAAAGGAGATAGTGCTTTAAATTTTTCGATATTATCCCTGTAGACATCAATAACAATAATACAGCAAAAATAATTTTGGGAAATCATCAGGGTAAAAGAAAACAAACAAATGGACCCCTGCAATTCAGCTGTGAGGGAGAAATCTCCATGTTAATCCAAAGCTATGATTCTCTTCAGTGTTAAAATCGGTTTGGAACTTTCATAACGAAACATTTCACTGAGGCTTAATTTCTGTTTTCTTTTCTCATTGTTTGGCAGTCAAGGTTGCAGCTAGATCACGCTATCACAAAGACTCATTTGAGTTCAAGAATGCAGCTCCCAATTCTCGGCTTGTGACCGAGCCAGGTGAAGGAGGACTGGGAACCGACCCGACCCCATTTGTAATAATTGCCCTGCACCCCTCTGTGTTCCCCTTTAACACGCTGAGCTTAGCTGAAGAAGTGAGACACACTACTGTGGATTTCAGCATGCGTTTAGCTTGCTGGGCCGCAAAATACCCACCAGAAAAGCCATAAAGAACAATAATCATTAAAACGACTCCACCCGCAAACTAGCAGCGTGCTCCAGACTTCAGTCGGAAGCCCTGTTAGCTAGATAGATGCCTTTGTGTTCAAACCACTTTGCATGAGTCTTACTCTGAGTGATTCCAGTGTGAATATGACATTACTAATGACCTGCTAAGTGTGTACAGATGTGGGTTTCTCCAGATGTGGTGATTAATAACGTAATGGAGATAGCTGGTTGGCTCATGTTTATGGGTTGTTTGCCTTTTATTACTTTTCTGAGTTTATTTGCTTTGAACTATTTCTTAACTCCAGCCAACAAACTCACCTTTAAGTCTCAAAGAGTTTCATTCCCCTTAAACTCACCAGGGAGACAGGGAAGAGGAAATGTGCCGCAGGCAGGAGCTGACTGATGATGGGTCCATTGCATGCAGCACTGGATTATTGGGGACGTTGAAGGTTGCTATCTTTGTCCCATTTCACTTCAAGGACCCAAAGAGGCACTGGTGAACCCTGACACAATGTTTGCAACCTGACAAGGCAGCTAAAAGGAAGATAATTTCTTTCTTTCTTTTCTAAATCTGGTAAAATATATGATCGTTTTGAAGCTACCCAGAATTCTGGCCAGTGCTTCTGGAAGAGGTTGCTTTGCTCTTGCTTGAAAACAGAACGTTGATGAAAAGTCAACTGAAATGTTGTTACAGATGTTCAGCTCTGCATTAAGGCTGTTGGAATTACCACCACATCTTAAATCAATTCCTGGAACATTGTCTGGAGGTTATGTCATTGAAATAATGAATCCTCTTTAGTCAAGTATAAGCAAACATGTTAAAACATCATTGTAACTTTAAATTAAACTCCAGCGCAAACCAAGGGATCTGAAGCCTCATTAGACTTGCCTGACATTTTGCTAGCACGAGTCTTCCCAAACTGTAAAACTGTTAGATTCAGTGCCTATTAGACAAGGGAGCACTGGGAAGTTACAACAGAACATTAAGTGTTATACTTAGGGATGTGCAAAAACAAGCCCTTGAATTTTATGAGTACTTGGAGACTGGATGGAGTTCAGCTCCTATAAAAATTCCACATTAGATTCCTGAACTTGTTTGTGTTTTAAGGAAGCTGGGAAGTCAGGGTTCTTTAAAGAAGCATGTCTTCATGTAGCTCCCTCTGCGCACAGGCAAGTAAGTGAAAATGCTGGAGATAGAGGTGCATTGCAGTTACCAAAAAGTAGGCTAAATATGAGCCCGTAAATGTATATTGTCCTGAAGGAGTGGCCGCTTACTTGAACACATTTGTGTTACATGAAAGTAAGTAAATTTAAGTCTCCCTTTTAATTCTGTTTTTATTCCTCACATGTAGTCACAGAAGCTATGAAATGAAAATTAGATTTTATAGTTTTACTAGAAGTTACCCTAGATCTGCATTTTTTAAATGTGCAGAAATTGATAGAACCCATATAACAGACAGTAATTAAATATGTTTTATATCCTACTTATGAAAAAGAAGTTATTCCTGCTTTTTTTGTGAGACCTAAGTCATATATAATGGGCTCCATTATGTAACGTTCATATATTTAAGCTTAAGACATTTTTGTCCCATCTCTTCAGGGAACAGATTTCTAAGACCTGAGTGCAGGAGAAAAGCTTTGAACACAGTTTTGAGAGAACAAATCTCTGTTTAAATGAAGTATGATTATGATGGATGGATGGTCTCTCTGAATTGCAATGAAAATAAATAGTTTCCTTGTAAAGGAGATATGACTGTACTCTCTAAACGAGGTGTGTCCTGGGTCTGGCTACCAGGTATTAAATTGTTAGTTCTCCCATCTGAAGTCTCACATAAGTAAACAGCCAGCAAAGAGGTGTAAGGATAATGGGCATTCCTATAGTGGATTATCTATTATAGGCCCAGGAAAATGAGGAAGCAAAAGAATCTAACAGCAGTGCCAGCGAAGGTGACTTCTGTCTGGATCTTCTAACTAGTACAGAGCCATTCTGTAATTAGACCTGCTGTCATCCAGTGGCATTGAATAAAGCCAACCATGGCCATCTAGGTTGGATGAAAGAACTTTTTGACTGTTGCATTATAAACTTCAGCGGGCTTGTGTAAAAGAAAAGAACTGAACTTTTACCCTTAGTATACCCACACATGTGCACACACACACACACACACACACACACACACACACCCATGATTAGCCTAGCATACTGCACAGCTAACCTAAGTTTTTCTAATACAACTACTGCAAACAGGCCACATGGACAGTGACCCTGTATTAGCAATAGACTCAGTTCACACGTCCCTACTTCATTCTAAAATGGAAAATATAGATGTATATGGATCGTGACACACATACACACACAGACACACATGCGCGCACACATTTCCATGCCATTGTTGCCCTGGACACCCAGTCTCCTGTCCTGTGAAAGGAAGATGAATTCAGGTCAAGCTCAGAGTGCCTGTTTGCTTGCCGAGAGATGCATATCAACTCTAAGTGATTTTTTTCAGTACCATTTATGTGGCTTGTATTTATTTCCTTTAATCTTGTAAGTGCTGTTTAGTCTCTGTGTGATTTGCTGTGGATACTCATTTCTGATAAGATGCGATATCCTTCCAGCCACACAGTCCCTGCCTGAAGCACTAAGTGACTGATACAGACACAGCCTGAGTGGGGCCCGGGGGTGGGAGCAGGAGGGAGCAGGGGCTGGGGTGAGCCGCTGTGGGCATCTGCAGGTGCATTTCTTTAACTGCTGTCACCTCACACGACACTCTTGTTCCCTTTCCTTTTGTCAGCCAGAATTAGGCAACCCTAGACTGACAGTACAGTAGGGAAATATGAAAAGTGTGACCCTCAGGAGCAAGTTTGGAGGCTGGTTGGACTATTAGAATCTCTTTAGTGCACTATGAACCATGTATCATAACCTACTAAACTTATTGAGGATTTTCAGAGAACACTATAGAATTCATGCCCATATAGGAGTCTTCCTGGTCAATGCCAAGTAGCTGAGATGGCAGTTTCTCCTCCACCTCTGACTCATACACTGTGAACATATCTCAAGCTTCTTTTGACATCATCACTGCTAATATTTCTTTTCTTAACTTTATGGTGACCTCCGTGCATTCTGAGTTTCAGGGGTGCTTCCTCCTAGTCTGTGTTGCAGTCAACTGTAAGAATCCCAGGATCGTATTTTTCCTTCTTAACATCACAGCTTTAGCCTGGATGGTGGGGGCGGGGACAGCAGGACTAGAATTTTGCTGCTGATGCCCTTGGGTGACAGGCTGGGTACGCATCCGCTAATTATCAAGCAGCTCTCTTAAAAAGAAGCATGATACAGGCTAATACATCTACAAAGCTTATTAGTGGGTGTCTTTGGGCAAGAGCAGTAGAGTGTGCTGTGTTGTTTGTGAGTAAAGCTTCACATTGCTTAGCGATCTGTGTGGTTTAGACATTTGGCAAACAGCCTTTGGTTTCCTCTCCGCCCTCATCCCTGCCATGCACTGCATCATCAGAGGTACAACTCAATGGCCTTCTCCTTCATCTCAGTGTCCCTCTCCAGCTCGCTCTCCAACCTCACCAGCACTGGGTCTCCTGTCTTAAGCAAGGACCCCTTTTGGCCTCCCTCTTGGCAGATGGGGGACAGAGAGCAGAATTGGAGTGAGGATTCTTGAGCCAGCGTGTGCCAAGGTTCACAGTCTTGACTGATTGCAACATTGGCCCTCAAGGTCTCGAATCCTTGTCTCTCTCCAAAGTCGCTGTGGCATGCCGAGACTGGGAACCAGTTAAGATGGTTCATCTGGAGAAGCAGCAGGCTGGCAATCATGCCGCTATGTCAAATACAACTTTATTTCTGATTTTGGTTACAAGAAAACTCATTTGATTTCCTGCCAAAGTAACCAAAATGACCTCTAAAAATAATGATTGACTGTTCATACATATGTATTTTTGTATGCAGATAAATCATAATTTCTTTTCTTTCCTTTCCTTTCTTTCTTTTTTCTTTTTCTTTTTTTCTTATGGCAGGATATTTCTAAGCTGTTTTAGTTTGTTTAAAGTGCATGTTCAAAGGCTGGAGCTTAAAGAGGTGTCGCTTCAGCCTTCTCAAAGCCTGCCTCTCTGACTAACGCATTTGGTCTTTGTCATTGGGTCCTAAAAGACAGCCCTGAATTCCTAGTGAGTGACTGAGCCTTGAGTGTGTGTCCTTTGATATCTCGCTGTATTTCGCAGTCTGCCCTCAAACTGTTCCTAATCTCATGAGCTGCCTGTATTTCCAGTTGAAGACGAGCAGCCGTCAACGCTATCACCAAAAAAAAAGCAACGGAATGGGGGCATGAGAAACTCGCCCAACTCCTCGCCGAAGCTGATGAGGTAAGGAGGGCCCAGCACAAGGTCGGGGTCCCTCTCTGGCTCCTTCTGTCTTCTCTGGGGCCCCCTCCCCAGCCAGCACCGGCGGGGGAGGGGATCGTTAGATGGCTTCTTAAAGGCTGGAGTATTTATTCTGTCAGCTTGTCAGCAGTTAATGATAGAGCTGAAAAAATTCTGTCATGGAAAACAGTTTGAAAAGCTGTTTGAAAAATACATAGGCTTTAAAGTCTTAGCTGTCACCATGTCCTGTCTGTGTGTAGTTCCTAAACAGCAGTGGCACTAATGACGCCGGGAACCAATCAGAGGAACTCTGTGGTTAGTTTGCCTGGGGCAAGTCTCTTTCTGCTGGAGTCCCTCCGAGGACTGTTTTCTGTACTTAAGGCCATATGTGAGATGTATCATCACAATCAAAAATGAACCTGAAGATTACCTTCCTTTTATCCTGTCGATTGAAATCAAATTTCCGTTAATTGATTTTGACTGATAAAAAAAAAGTCTAATAATCTGTGGACTTGCCAAAGCAAAGTTCAAAAGTAATTCACTTCAGCGCAGGCTAAAAGCAGTATTAATTATGAAATATGGCTTGCTTTCTCACTCCCTCCTTTTCTCTTCCTTTCTCTTTTCCTCTTTCTCTCCCTCTTTTTTCATCTCCCATTCTCTTCTTTTTTCCCTCCCATCCTGCTTCCTCTTTCCCTTCCTCCCTTCCTTCTCTCTCAGCTATGGCTTTCTCTAAGAAGTACCAGGTGAAACAAAATGTCAGGAGTTCTGCAGTTCCCTTTCTTGGCCCCTTTCTCTCTCTTCTCCCATTTGTGTCTGATTCATCTGCAAATCCATCCACAAATCCCAATACGCATTTCCCCTGACCTCCCAATTCTCTAAAGCCCTCATGAAATGGGAGTGATTTCAGACGTACCCTGCTGCCCTGAGTGGTCCTTGCCCTGGAAACACCCTTCCCCTGGATGTTAACTGTTCTCTTTGCCAGTGGCCCCTGTCTGCCCTTGGATCATTGATACACAATCGTGATGATTTCTGTGGCCCATTTCTCCACGACATTTGTGTCTCCCTGGCCTTCCACATGCTTCTGGGGCACGACCTGGGTTGCCCCTTTTTTCCCAGTGGGGTACACAGTCTCTCAGTGGGAGACTCACCCAGCCCTCTCTCCTTTGCTATTATGACCAACTTCTCCTGCTAAGTATTCCTTAGGAATTCTGGCCTCCCCTGGCTCAGCCTTGCTGGGTGCTTCTGATTTACATTCTTGTTTACAGTTTATGAGGAAGAATAAAATGTACCAACTGCTAAGCTTCTCATTTTATGATGCCAGTTGTCAGGCTAATGTTCATTTCCTACTTACTCACCTTTAGATAATCGGTTTATCTAGCGCTAATAGTTTTCTCCATTTAAAGGCGAGAAAAGCCCGGGTGCTTTTCTTTGCCTAAATTTAGAGAAGCAAATAAATAAATAAATAAGGAGAAGTCTGAAAAATCTGCAACCTTTGGAGCCAAATTCTCTGTCCCTGTTTGCTATGTAAAGTATGGCTCATTTCTTTGATCTTGAGTAATAATAATTCTGAGGAGTTATACTGTTTTCATATGCTTCAAAGCTGTGTCAAAGTTTTGCTGCTTAAGGGTACTTCTTTATTCTGTTGGCTCTTGGGTACCAAGATGACAGGTCTCCTGTACGAGGTGGAGGCTTTTTTAAGTCGTAGCCTTCAGCAAAACATCAAATTACCAAATCCAGGGTAACATACTTCTACACAAATGCCTTTCCTGTAGATATATTATACCATATATATTAAATACTTTAGTGTTACACGCTACATTTTATGTGCAATAGAAAGTGATGGTTTGAGGTAGCCTTGGGGGGACTCTTTTTTCCACAAGCAGAGAAAGCTAGTGTATACCGTATCAAGTATGGTTTTTACAGGACTTTCTGCCCGAAGGCCTTTGTAAATAAGTAATGATCAACAGATTGGCTGTGGGTTTTTGAAAAGCATGCCTATGTCAGTTTGCATGATGGGGGAGAATTTTCAAAGTGGATCTTGCTTTCATTGCCTGCCGGAGAGGGGCTGAGGGAGGCACTCATCCCGGGCTAGAGCTGTCTGCTCTGTGGTACATCAGAATTGCTAAACGGGGGTCAGGTGCTGAGCTGAAACTTGCCAAGCTATAGAACTGGGGCGTCTCAGGTTGGTGCTTCTGCACTGCTGCTGCCACCACGGCTACAGTCACAGGAATGCTTTATCCTTCCTACCCGCCCACAGTGGTTTCTATGGCAGCTCAGGTGAAATGGACCATCCCATCGGTGTCCACCATGACTTTCTATGTCCCAGGCACTTTATGTACTTGTTTAATGAAGAAGAACAGGGACAGGGCCTCTGCTGAGCCTGCCTGCTTCATTTTCCTTTATTTCTAGTTTATGAATCTCCGAAGTAAAAAAAAAAAAAAAAAAATCCAAGAGCTTTTTGGTTTGTCTTTGACTATCCAGCACTGGCAATAAAGCTTCCAGGCCAGGATAATTTTTGGTAGATCCCTTTTGCTGATTGGCAAAAAGCAGAAATGCTTTGTGACTTTTCCAGTTCCCCTCACCTCTTCAAACATCCTCTTTCTATGCTTCAAAAGATTGGACTCCCAGGCCCTATTCCATATGACCTCAGAAAATCCATATAGGAAGCTAATGACTTATTTGAAGTGGGATTTTCAACATGAGTTTGCAGCTTGCTATTTGAGCAGAATCAATCATTCCAAGTGTCGGCAGGTTTTAGTGCCCTATGGACAGTGATAGGAACAACTCCAAGAGAAACCAGAGAGCCCGGAATGGGCCAGGCTGGACTTTAATTTACCACTGTGGCTTCTGCAGATAAAGCATGCTCTTGTGTGAGGGCTCTTTCCAAATCATCTGCCAGCAGAAAATGCTACAGGGACTCTCTACTAATGGTCCTGTCTCTCCTTTGTTCTGGTATCAGGCTTACCCCAGTGTTTTAGTGTCACTTAATTCTCTGCACAGTCGTTAGGTGAACAGCCTTGTTTTGTGTCTGGATCCTGAGGTAGTACGTTTTTTAGTCACCCAGACAGAAAACAACTTTCACAGCCAAATCAAGCTAAATGAGTGTGTTCATTCTATACCAAGCACATGGGCCTAATGATGGATCACCTCTGGCTCTGCCCCTACTGATGAGTGAGCCACTGAGATCCCCAAGTCCCTTCTTGCATCTGTTTCTTACCTCCCTTCCATGTTGATCACTTACCAAGGAATTGTTTAAGGAGTTCCTCATAGTTTTCCACCAAGATACTCCAAGCACCTATTATGTGGCTCTTCCTACTTAGTGAATTTGTATTGTATAAGCATAGCCATGACTTTCCTCAATTGCATAGGAAAAATTTGCTGGGATAGTTCATTCCACCTGAGCTGTGAAGGGAAAGAACTTTGTCTCAGTCAAGAGATCCTAATTTGGAGCCTCACAGACCATATTCAAATAAAAAATTTCTAAGGTTGAGGGTATAGCACAGTAATAGAGCCCACTCCCCATGTCCACAAGGCCCTATGTTTGGTCCTGAATAGATTCTCTAGGATAAAAACTATACGGAAGACCACTTTGACTATAGTTCAAGCAGAGTCATAGGTTTCTGAAATCCTCACTCAAGATCACAGAATGCAATCACATTCAACTCATCCCTCAGCCACCTTGAATCATTGTACCTACTAGAGCTTCTTGGATAATAAGAATTTCTCTGCAGTGAGTACCTGACAAAGAGAACTTGCCTGGTCTTTCATACTGTGTCCTCAAACAGAACCCCAAAATGCTGTGACTCTTTGGCTGCCTACTCCTAATCCTTTTCTCTGAGTAAGTCCCATCCAGCAATGTTTAGTGAAAACCTAATGTGTTCAAGGAATTATGGAAGGTCTCTGGGATATCTAAAGTATAATGGATTGGGTGAGGTCCCTGTTTTCAAAGTGTTGAGGAGACAGACAGACAGACATATATAGCAAAATGCCATAATATCAATTTAAGAGATCATAGTAGCATGGGCTATGAGAAGAGAAAGAGCTATCATTATTTTGGTTTTTGAGGCTGTGCTTGGTTTGAAAGGGGTTATTTAACCTAGTCCCCAGAGGAGAGGGATTCTCTACTGATAAGATTACCTGCACTGCTTCATAGTTTACCAGATGTCATTGCAAGAGCACTGTGCCTGTGAACTAGAGTACTTATCACAACTCTATGGGATGTTCCTATTCTTCCTCCCATTTTACAGATGAAGAAGCTGAGACACAGATGCTGTATATAAAGTCCAGTAAGTCCACTTAAGTTTAATTAAGTTTTATCATTTAATTAAGATAATTGTCTTTGACTATCCAGCACTGGCAATAAAGCTTCCAGGCCAGGATAATTTTTGGTACATCCCTTTTGCTGATTGGCAAAAAGCAGAAGGGCTCTCCCAGTGCCTTGTGACCTTTCCAGTTCCCTTCACCTCTTCAAACATCCTCTTCCATCTAAGAAGATGGAAGAAATAGGGAAAGTGCTTAGAACACTGTAAATGTCTGAGTGTGGCTGGAACAAGGGATCCTTGGCATAACATCACTGGCAAACATGAGAATGTTCTGGAATTCGATCATGAAGACTTTTGGCTGTCATAGGCTTTGGGGAGCCCTTGCAGAAGCAAAGCCCTAACTGATTTGGCAGCATCATTTGTGGTGGTATAAAGAAGGGCTTTGAATTCCCCATTAGAACCTTTCTGGGACTATAAGCTCAGAAGTATAAAAGAGAGAGTCCACTCAGCTTCAGCCTCTGCCAGCTTCTTGGGGTATCAAACCAGGAAGGGTTGGCTGTGGCCCGGGTCTCAGCTAGACAGTTGTCCCAGGAAGAATGTATATCATTCCTGACACCAGTCCTGAGACTTGGAGTGAGGTAGAGAAGCATAGACCATAAAGATGCATGCAAGATGTTGGCAGATAGACAATTTACACAGAGAGCTCACTCCCGGCCATGCCAGTGGGGATATTTGACAACA